CTTGTATTGACACTGTACATGACAACAGAACTCACTGTTCACACTCGTATCGATGCTGTACACGACAACAGGACACACTGTTCACACTCGTATTGACACTGTACTGAACAACAGGACTCACTTTTCACACTCGTATTGACGCTGTACACAACAACAGGACTCACTCTTATTACACTTGTTCACACTTGTGTTAAAACTGGACAGAGCAACAAGAAGTTATGTTTTAAAATTTCTGCTAGTTTTATAGGTATAAGTAAAAGGTCCTCACTTTGTGCAGCTTGGGATTTGTTGACTGTGGAGTATTCAACAGCAGTATCTGTCTGTGTTAATTCTGCAAAGAATAAAACACATGTTCTCACCCATTAACACTGTGCAGAGCAACAGTGATCTCGGTGCATTAACACTGTACAGAACAGGACTCACTGTTCACAGTCATATTGACACTGTACAGAACAACAGGACTCATTGTTTACACTCGTATTGACACTGTACTGAACAACAGGACTCACTGTTCACACTCGTATTGACACTGTACTGAACAATAGGACTCACTTTTCACACTCGTATTGACGCTGTACACAACAACAGGACAGATGTGATCTATCCACCCTCCCAGATGGAATGCCGGGCCTTTGCAGAACCTATCTCACGTCTTCAGTTCCACCCCTCCAGCATTACTGGTCCCCATTTCTCCAGCCTGGCAGACTGGAGCCACAACAGGAGGTTACAACAGCAGCGTCTGCATCGGGGGCCTCGAACCCACGGCCCGAACTACACGCGGTCACAGCACGCCACCGAGGCCTACCAGCAGGCAGCTGCTCCTTGGGTTCGGAAGGCACTGGACTAGGAATGGGTCCAAGCCACCAGGGGGAGCTTACTGCGCTCTCTCGGGTCAACTGAAAGCTCCCTGCTGTGAAGTCACAGGAGGAACTGGTGCAGTCTGAACAAGACGCACTGGGAAATCTCCTGAGGGGCCCCTCCAGGGGCCTTCTGTCATAATCTCAAACACAATCTCAGTGGAGCCCCGCCTCAACCTGTCTGACTGTCCGAACCTGTGGCTCCTCCTCCTGCTGAGCAGGATCACTGCTGTGACAGCTCATCAT